TCCATTCAAAAAGTTAGAAAATTATTGTCTTTTACCCCCTTTCTTTTTTCGTGTGTGTGTTCACTGTCATTATTATTCCTCCGGGTGGCGAAGGCCTGGTGACGTACCCGGACAACAGCCACGGCTTCCCCCGCAACGAGGGCTTCTTCCAGGACTGCCGGATGGTGCGCCGGAAGGCGTGCCCGGAGGTGGTGCAGCGCGCCCAGAAGGTGGCCCTGCTCGCCCGCCGCCAGAAGGACCAGCTCGCCCGCGGCGCCTGAGCGAGCACATGGAGTGCTACCTCGTCAACCACCGCCCCGCGGCGCCTGAGCGAGCACATGGAGCACCACCTCTTTCACCCTATGCAGCGTGACAGTCAAAATGAGACAGAAAACGATTTTACTTTACGTTATGGCCGTTAACATCGAAAAGTTGCGTTGAAGTGGAATAAGGCATCCGTCAGCAAGTACGCACCGAGTTGGCTTACCGTGTATTGCAGGCTGCTGGTTGCCTACCACCAAGGCAAGGCGGCTGGTTGCATATACCACTACGGGACAGACAGATTGGTTGTCAGACCACCAGATAATTGGATGCCTATATCTCCTCCCAACAAAGACATCAAAACAACACCGTTTGTCGACAGCGGCTGCTGGCTGCGGTGAAAGCACCAAGCACTTTTTATTATGGCTGTACCGCCATATCATTTTGTTTTGTGTCGCTAACTGCCCCAATTTTTTTTCGATTTTCGCCAACTCTATGAATAAACGATAACGATCGTGGTGGAGACTGTTGCTACCCTCAACCTCGCCAACAAAAATGTACTGTTGTGAAAATTGTGACGATCGCCGAGTTCTGTACCAGATGTCGTTTTTGTTTTCACAAAAGCGTACCGATTGTGGAGGAAAAGAATCGTATGGCTTGACGACAGATGTTTTTTTCAGGTGAAGGGGGAGATATACCCCCCCCCCTCCACACACATACACACACACACACACCGTCAACAGGTAGGGTGCCACTGGCCTCTCAGCCCTCACGGCGGGGAGAGGGCACCAGGCCCCTCTGGGGGTGCCGGGCGCACAGCAGGGGGAGGGGGGGGGGAGGGCACCTCAACAGGTCACACTAGGGTCACACACGCGCGGAGGCACCGGGACGAGGGCAGAGTAGTACACTATGCAAAGCCAACCGGAGGACAAGGCCTCCTTACACTCTGCAGAGGAACTGATATGGTCGCCACTCATTGACCTTCCTTATTGAAGGGTTTATTATTACTGCGCAATATGATTGTTACTTTCAAAACCACGAAATTGACTTTTTTTGGTTTCGGGTTTAAAACACGTTGCGAAATGAAAACAATATAGGCGTCGCGCAGGTACGCGTCTCACCAAGGGCGCGGCCTCCTTGCAGGTCAATGACACCCACACACGGGCCCGGAATAACACATGACGAAACTTTTGGCGTCCAAAGTGACGTCGGCGACAGGAGCGAGCGCGATGCGCGCGCCGTCGTGACTCGTTTGTGTCGCCGAAGTTAGATGGAGGCATCCATATTTCACCGGCGGCGCGGCGGCGGGTGTGCGTTGCGCGGCCCCGGCCTTGTCGCCGTCCTGGGAGTGCTGCACTTGAGGGGACTACCCGCGTCCCGTCCTCCTCCCCCCCCCCCTTGCCGTCCCCGTCCTCTCCGGGCACACAGAGGAGGGCCTCCGAGCACCTCTCGGCCCCCAGCGGCACCGAGCGGCGCGCATGCATGACCTGGGTATGGGTCTCGAGGGCGCTCCGCAGCGCTCCGCAG